TACCCTCCCTCCTCTCCCCTCCCCATCTCCCCTCCAGCTACAAGGATGCTTTCGATGACTTCAAGGAGAAAAGCAAGAAGCACACACACTACAAGCCTATACTGATCGCAAACATTAACAACTGCTGGAATTTTAGGTAAGGGTCCGAAAGAAAAGGCTTTTTGCTCCTTCTTCTGCAGACAATGGATAATAGTGTGATAGAGGGGAGGTACTCCAGAAATGACAGAGGAAGGTCCATCTGCCTGCAGAAGAATGTTTGGAGACCTCTGAATTCCTCTCACTTTCTCTTTTGAGGATAGATGATTCTGACCTTGCTGATATTTCTTTGCAGAGACTATGCAGAGAAGAACATCTCAGAAGAGGACGACAGTAAAGCCAGTATCCTCAGCATTCTTGGTGACATTGAAAACAGCGTCTTTGACGTGCTGCTTCAGCAGCTGTTTATCAAACTGAAGGTACCAGATCTGCACCCCACACCCTCCTGCCCTGTGGCTCATCCTGCGCTGGTGCTGGGCATGTTCTTCTGTCATACTATCAGTTGCCTAAATCTCTGATTCAAGTGCAGGAAATTTCAGAAGGGGTCTGGGTCAGGTCAGCTCTCAGCATTGGTCCTAACTTGCATTGCTGCTAGAAAGCTCAAACTCACCTCTCCTTGAGCTGGTCCTCAAGCCTGCAGGCAAAATGGGTGCAGCTACTTAGGCATAACTGTGCAGAGGAACGTAAAACATGCTCATCACGTCTAAGGCAATTGCTGCAGGAGGGAAAGTTTCAACCTGCAAGTGTTTACACTCCAAACTATAGGAAGCAATTACAAATGACATGAACGGCAATTATGCAGCTTTTGGCTTCTTCATAAAGGTGGCCTGAAAGGCACTTTTGGTTTCCTTCTTTTTTTTTTTCCTTATATATAACACAAGCTTTTAATTTTTTTTTTAAATGTGGTGGAGTGGAAAGCATAGGAGTTGGAATGTTCAGCCACAATCTCTCCAGCTTCCTCTGTAGGGCCTTTTGGAAGGCATCTGAAAGAGCAGGGGTGCTTTTTTTATTTTTCTATTTACTGTGGTCAAGAAAAATTGTCATTGAAAACGTCTCATAATAATTAATTTTTTTCATTTTTTTTTCCATAATGGCTCCATAATTCTCTAATCAGACAAGATCATTTGGACAAATCATTTTAAAATGTGGAAATAAAAGTATATTTAATATGAGCCTTTCAAGCCCTCAGTCTTCTTCACCACGAGGAACTAAGAAGGGGCCACAAACCAAATACAGTCCCATCTTCCCCTGCCCCTGTCAGTCATGGCCAGACATCCCTGCACAGGACTGCATGCCACGCTGTCACTATGTAGACTACTGTACATACAAAAATGCTAAATATACGTGTGCATAGAATTTGTTTTGAGGGAACTAAGAGGATTTTCCTTTTTTCAGCCAATTTATAAGAGGTTTACAGAAAATAAGTGGGACTCCAGCAATGAAATTATGAATGAGATCATTAAAACCACCAGCAAACATATTTCAGACTTCCGGACCCTAAAGGACCCTTTCTACCATGTAAGTCCAAGGGTAGCATTGGAGGGATTCTGGGATGTCGAGGCTGCATTTTCAGCTCTGATCCTCTGTAGCCCCTGAAGGGTCTAGAGAAAAAGTCTTGTGAGGGAACTGCTTAGCCTGGAAGAGTTGTTTAGCTTGGGGAAAAGGAGGCTCAGGGGAGACCTTCTTGCTCTTTGCAACTACTTGAAAGGAGGTTGTAGTGAGGTTGGGGTCAGTCTGTTCTCCCATGGAACAAGCCGATTCCTCTTGCAAAAAGGCAAGAGGAAAGGACATCACGTTCTTCCAGGGGAGGTTTAGGTTGGATATTAGGAAAAATTTCTTCACGGAAAGGATTGTGAAGCACTGGAACAGGCTTCCCAGGGAGGTGGTGAGGTCACCATCCCTGGGAGATAAGACACATAGATGTGGTGCTTAACAACATGGTTTAGTGGTGACCAGGCAGTGCTGGGTGAACAGTTGGACCTGATCATCTCAAATGTCTCTTCTAACCAGAACAATTCTATGATTCTATGACTGGAGTTGCCTTCACCCACATTGGGCTTGCAAGTTGACCTGGCATCAGAGAGCCTTCTCAGGATTTTCATCAGCATGCAGTTTACCTAGATTAGCCATATAAATCTTCTTCTTCTTGAGCAGAAGCAGACTCCTGCAGCTCAGCTGCAGTGTCTGCAGAGAAAGCCACTCCTGCAGTAAAGAAAGTACACTAGGGATAACCCAAAATACAGCTTTATTTATGTGCACGTTTGGAGCAACCTTGGAACACGAGTGCAAGTGCATGGTTCTGTCTCACGGCTCCTTTGATTGCTCTAAGGACCAGAGGAGATGGATCCAGCTGGAACAAATCCCAGATAACTGAGCTCAAACCACATTTTTAGTGGTGCTGGAGTATATATGAAATATCACCATATGAATTATCTTTGATTTTCTGCCTTTGTCTTTTTACTAGCTGAAACTAAATTATGATGTTTTGTGCATTAGAAACAGGAGGAACAGCATAAATTCCTGCTTCTCTAGGGTACGGTTACTTCTCTAACACATGGAGATATTTTCTATGCTTTAAGTTTTTCCCAGAAGGAAACAACATTTGGAAATTCCCACATTTCATTACTTTGCAGTACAAAGAAATTCTCGGCATCTAGGATGTCACGTAACCAGTCGTGGGAAGGCTGGCACCCAGCACTGTTTCTGACTTCTGATCAACAGCAGGCATTTGTTGGGGCATGTCTTACAGCACCCAAGGTGTTTTTGACATTCATCCACCCACACAGTTTTTGTCCCTGTGCAAAAGATAAGTGGCTGATCCCTCCCTCTCCGTCCCAACAGGCTATCATCGAGAAGATCCACGCCCGTTTGGTTAAAGAGTACATTGTGAGGCTGCTAAAGAGGAAAATCAGCCTGAAAACTCCAGCACAACAGCAAAACCTGGCCCAGCACATCTCCAAGAATGCTGCTGACCTGGAAGCCTTCTGCACCAGCAATGTACGTGAGTGCTCACGTCCACAACAGCAACGGGCACAGGCACACTGAAAAAAAAAAAGGAAAATAAGTTTTCTGGGGAGTCTCACTAACCTTTCCAGCTCAGCTTAATTTCCTGGAAGGCAAGTCCTGAGGCAGAAAGAAGTCTCCAAGTGCCTCCAGACAGGAAGGCTCCCCTGCCACCAGGCTGCCCCTCCTCTGGATGCAGAATGATTATTTCATCCTCCTTTGCCCCATAGGCAGTGGTTTCCTTTTGAAGATTTATGTTAATAGAGCCAGAAGTTTCAGCTAAACACTGCACTGCTCTGCTTTCAGTATGATTTATGTGGAGTCTGCATTTTGACTCTTCCCCCTTGCCCTTGATTTCCTTCATTCTGCTGCCTTTAAGTCAGGCAGGGGCTGGAATGGGCAGTGCTGGGTCTTTGACAGACAACACTTTCCTCCACCAGAGACCCTTACTTTTCCTGCATGGCTGAAACATCCCTCTCTGTTCTCTGAGATCACCTCCCTTCTGTCACGCCTCTAAATTTGCCTGTAAAAAAGCTAAGCCAAGCCCACTCCTTCACCACCCCATGTACAGTTGACTGGCGAAGGAACAAGCCTGAGCATCACTTGGCACTGGCAGGAGGCCAGACAGACAGTGCCTTGGGACATCCAACACCTAGAAAACAGGTCCAGTTGGGACTTTTACCTGCATGGGCAGGGAGAGAATTTTGGCAATGCCTGGGGATGCTAAGGGCAGGGTTGTGTGCCGAGGTGGGAGGGAGAAGCACGTAGCAGGGTATCACCTGGACCATCAGTTCTCATGCACACACTAGGCAGCATAGAAACCCCAGGAAAGGCAAACAGGATGGGAGGGAGGAGCAGAGATAGTCTGTTAAGGTGGATGCGGAAACCTCAGTGTTATGGGAAACCCTACACCACTTGTGTAAGAGGATTGAAAACCAACAGAAAACTAATCAAATTTCTCCAAGGCTGGTCCAGGCTAGAAACATCACTGAAAGCAATGAGGCACAAAAAGTCACTGCTGTGCCCTTCCCCATCACCATGAAACAGCCTCAGGAGCCAGTTGGCTGCACTTACTGTGAGACATGGCTCATGGGCTGGACGGAGGTTTGCACCTCCACCAAGCTCTGCTGACCACCTTCTCTTCTGGCAGGGGTCTCAAGCCACATGGCTGAATTCGGCACTCCCCAAACTGGCTGAAATCATCCGGCTTCAGGATTTAGGTGCTATTAAAATTGAAGTTGCAACACTTGCCACAACGTACCCAGATATCCGGTAAGAGACACTGAAACAGATTTGCAGATAGTGGTAGAGAGTTTTAACTGAGCCAAGCAGTAGTCAAACCTGAGTATAGGAGAGGTTCATATTTCTTGAGTCTATAAAAAGGTGTGGGGGGGCTGCCTGCCAGCTTATGGCAATCCTGGTGCTATCAGACAACAAAAATATATTACGTATTATATGATTTTCTACTTTGCCTTGGAGATTTCCTGCTCTATCCCAAACCTCCCGGGACAGTGCTGGGTCCCATGCAGGAAGGCCAGATGCTGAGCTGGCATCTGCCAAGCACCTCAGCACCCACCGCAGGGACAGGGTCACATCCTGGTGCAAGGGACTCGGCATGTGGAGATCTGTGGGAAAAGGTAACACCTGCCTCTTTCTCCTCCACAGCAAAAGGCACCTGGAAGCATTCCTGTACATCAAAGCAAATTTGTCACGCAGCGAACTCAAAAGCATCCTGGGCTACTTGGCAGACAGCACGGCATCCACGCCTCCCGGGGCCCCACTCTTCTCCAGCATAAACATGTCCTAGGCCAAGGCAGCTCTTGGCACCCTCTTGCGCTGGGTTGCCAGCTAAGCTGGGCACGGAGACCATCCCTGGAGCGATGCACGGTGCACACTGCCACCTCTCCCTGCAGAAGGCACTTTGTCCTACTCTGGCGTCAGTCCCTCTGAGTGAATCCCCACCCTCCCTCCAGGGCCAGGAGGAGGACGTGCCCTCGGGAGCAGCAGTGTGCTCCAGGACCAGAGCTGCTCCTCACACCGCCCACAGGCTCTCCACAAGGTCTCCTTGGTGCCACCACTTTCTCTGCCTGGACATTGCCCTGGTTCTCTGATCTTCCTCTACCTCACAGGGTGCCGCAAAGGCCACGTCACTGAGTCCTCAACTCGCCCAGACTGAGACAGGCACCTCCTGTGTAGCTTTTTTTTGTCTAAGACAATAACAGGAAACAAAAACTGAAGCCAGAATTTAGAAATGTTGGAAAAGTCCCCTGTGAGCATGCTTGCACCCCTCTGCCTTCCTATGAGCCAGGCAGGGGTGGCTCCATTAGGCTAATGGGAGAGGCACCAGCTTTTGGGTCAGGAGGAGCTGTTGCTCATCCATGGCAGGTTCCCTGCTGTCCTGGAGCACCCTCAGACCTGGGGCTTGGATTGGCCCCAGCTGCATGTGCTGCCCTGTGCAGCGGCATTACCCTGGGGCATCTGGGTTTCTGAACTAGCCCCAGAGAGCCCTGGCTGGCCCATCAGCAGCAACCCAGACAGGACAGCATGTGCTTCCTTCACCTCTGTGAGGTGGGAGCACCCAAACCCCCCCAGCAGCTGCCAGTACCCCTGCAGTGACCCCATCCCAGTGTAGCTGCACTGAGGTGGCACCCTGCTAGCAGAGGGTTAGGAGCAAGCTGCCCATCGCAAAGGATCATGTAGTAAAGCACTTTGGATATTACTTAAGCACTCCTTATTGGGGAGACATCACGGGCTTTGAACGGTTACTGGAACTGGCCCCAGATGCCACTAAAACAGAGGAAGCACCCTGTACATGTCACCATCTCCTTGCTCGCCCTTTCCCCTCTTGCTGTGAGGTAGATACAACGTGAAGACACAAATGGGTCTGTTGTGAAACTATGTTTTGTTTTTACAGCCCAGTTTTCTGGGAAGCAAACCACTTGCCAAAACAATGTGTTCAGCTGAAGACCTTTCCCTTTTGTTTTACTCTATTTCAACTTTTGTATCAGTCTGTAGAAAGTTGGTCTGGAAGGCAGACACATAATGACTATGCAAACCATGTGAACTATTTATATGCACATGCAGTATACCACTGGTGTATTTTTGCATCCAATTTTATTTTTTGTCAGTTAGAGACATTCATTTGGAAGGTTTATATTTAAACAATATTCAAATATGCTAGAAAAGTGACTCATTTATTCTGTCTCTGGGTGTTGTTTACTCGGTTGCCACACGTAGTCCTACGTACTCCTTCAAAAGGCCGATTCTTCAACTCCTCCCAGCCTGCTTTGGTGAATGTCACCTGCTGGTTCCACGTAGGGAGGGTCTTGCTGGACTACAGACAAGCTGGAAAAGCAGAGGCACCCTCTGCTTGTGCTGTGTGTGAGTCTCATAGCCTGGCTTTCCTTGCTGTCTGGAGCAAGTACTACCACGTGCACCGCTTATGGTGCCTGGTATAACAAAGTCTAAAACACTAGCCTCAAACACTACTGTAGTCTCAATGTTGACTAATAACACAATATATATTTAACATCCACATTTTAAAAATATACATATTTAGCATAGATCTCATCCTTACTGCTCTGGGATCCCCTTTCCTCTCTCTCTGTTGTCTCCTCCTGTTCCTATGAGTCTTTAGCAGATGCAGCCCACCAGAATTTGCTCCCAGTTGGCCAGGCTGGTCCACTTTTACTCTCCTCACAGGTGCTATAACTTGAGGCTGTGATGCTCTCCACAGTAAAATGGATGCAGAAGGGAGTCCTCTGCTAACAAGTTATGTGACAAAATTGTACCCTGGGTGAAAAACTGTGCTTTGGTTTCAGTCTGCTGCCTGGCCCTGAGTAGAGCAAACCTCCCTCTCTTTCCATAAACACACTCTCTCTCCCACAAAACTTCATTTATAGACATAATTAAATAGCCTATTACACTCGATTTAAACACTTATCCCAGCTACAATTTAAAGCCAAATGTCAAAATTACTTCTGACAGTGCTCAGCACTCATGACAACTGTCACCTATTGTGCAACATTTCCTTTCCCAATTAGTGAAAGGTCATGTTATTGCTATAAATAATTGCATTTTGATTTAGAAATCTGTTAAGGGCCTACAGAAATGCATCATACAAGTGGTTATGTTGGTCTTTTAAAGAAAAAGATCCCAGCTAAGTGCGGGCTCAAAGGGAAATAGTGACTCTATTTATATATCCTAATTAAAATGGGTAGGTGAAAATGGTTTTCATACACATTTCATAAGCCATATGGAACTGCACTGTGCAGTTCTCTTCATCCTGCTATAAAACCCCAGCTTTCAGCTCTAATGAGCCCAGGAAACTACTTTAATCTTCCTGTATGACTCGACATTTACCATGGCATTTATTTGTGTGTGACATATTACATATAGCCAGGTACTTCCAGGAGGTTGCAAGAATATATTCTGATAATAGCGTTAGATTCACACTGATAAACAGCACTCCTATAAAGTAGCTAAATAAAATTTTCTGACGTCAGTGTGGCTGGATTTTCTTTATCACACAACATCTGTTGATGTTGATATCTGACCCTCCTTGGAAGCAGAACTGATAGCCAAGATGAAAAATATAAAATCAGCTTTATGAAATAGTTAAGAAAGCTGGTTTGGGGGCACAATCGCTGTGGCGTCACCAGCTCTCCCAGTCGGTTGCCATCAGTGTCACCAGGACGTCAGCCTGCAACAGCCACTACATGGGACATGGAATGAGCTCACACATGTATGGATGTACACTCCTGGCTCCCTACACATCCACTCCACCAGGCATTTCCATCTTTTGGTAGAAGACTCACAATTTGCCATGCAAAAGGTGCAAGGATGCAAACCACAGCACGCCAGAAGGTGAAGCGAGGCATTACTCGCCTCCTCTGCTCCTGCTGGAGCCATCTAGTGCTTGCCAAGTCCTTGGTGACACCTGGGGAACCTCTGCCCTTGCTGCTGGGGAAGCCAAAACCAGCCAGAGAGCTCCTGGACTCCTCCCAGGTGTAAGCGTGATTGTAAAAAGCAGAAACTTTCTGTTAGAGCCTGATGAGAAACTTTGGAGTCTGCAGACCTGGAAATGAAGCATTAAGGAACCAGAATGCCTGCAATTCCTCCTCTTTGAGGCTGGATCTTCTCACCAGGATCCCCTGAGAGATGGCAGCACAGGACTAACAGCCACAGAGTTTATTGATGTGCTGATTTTAAGAGGCAGAATAGACCAAAGCACTCTGGTAATTGGGCCGTTCCAAGTTCAGCCCGCATCTCCGGGTGGACAGTCCTGGCTTCATTGCATACAGGTGACACAGCTCTTAGCCTCCTAGTGGGTGTAGAGCAGGAAGAGTATGTGAAATTAAAATCCCTAAGCACATGGAAGAGAAGGTTGTCAGGACTAGTCAGCATGGATTTACCAAGGGGAAATCATGCTTGACTAATCTGATAGCATTCTGTGATGTGGTGACTAAATGGGTAGATGCAGGGAGACCGGTTGGTGTAGTATGCCTTGAACTTAGCAAGGCATTTGACACAGTCCCCCATAACATCCTCCTGAGCAAGCTCAGAAAAGATGAGCTAGAGGAACAGGCAGTGAGGTGGGTCGAGAATTGGCTGCACAATAGAGCCCAAAGACTGGTGGTCAATGGTGCCAAGTCCAGCTGGAGACCTGCAACTAGTGGAGTCCCCCAGGGATCAATGCCTGGTCCAGTCCTGTTCAGCATCTTCATTAACGACCTGGATGATGGTACAGAGTGTCTTCCCAGCAAGTTTGCTGATGACACGAAGCTGGGAGGTTTGGCTGACACACCTGAAGGCTGTGTAGCCATTCAGGGAGATTTGGACAGACTGGAGATCTGGGCCAGGAGGAACCTAATGAGGTTCAACGGGAAGAAGGGCAGAATCCTGCACCTGGGCAGGAGTAATAAAATGCCCCAGTACAGGTTAGGAGGAGATCTGCTAGAGAGCAGCTCTGTGGAGAGGGATCTTGGAGTCCTGGTGGACAACAAGTTGTCCCTGGGACAGCAGTGTGCCCTTGTGGCCAGGAAGGCCAATGGTGTCCTGGGGTGCATTAAAAAATTGTGTCCAGTAGAACAAGGGAGGTCCTGCTCCCCCTCTACTCTGCCCTGGTGAGACATCACCTGGAGTATTGTGTCCAGTTCTGGGCTCCCCATTTCCAGAGGGACAGAGATCTACTGGAGAGAGTCCAGTGGAGGGCTATGAGGATGACTGGGGGACTGGAACGCCTGCCTTATGAGGAGAGGCTGAGAGACCTGGGGCCGTTCAGTCTGGAGAAGAGAAGACTTAGGGAGAGCTACTTAATGTGTATAAATATGTGAGGGCTGGGCATCAAGAAGAAAGGGGCAACCTGTTTTCAGTTGTACCCTGCAACAGGACGAGGGGCAGTGGATACAAGCTGGAGCACGGGAAATCCCACCTTAACATGAGGAAGGACTTCTTTTACTCTAGGGGTTACAGAGCACTGGAACAGGCTCCCCAGGGAGGTTGTGGAGTCTCCTGCCTTGGAGAGTTTTAACACCCATCTGGATGCTTTCCTGTGTGACCTGCCCTAGACTAGATGGTCCTGCTCTGGCGGGGGGGTTGGACTTGACGATCTCCAGAGGTCCCTTCCAACCCCTAACATTCTGTGATTCTGTGGATTACACAGTAACAAAGGGTGCGGCAGCACTTTGCTGACTTCCATTTGAAAAATCTTGTGTTTTGATCAGCTGGTATGAGCTTTAATAGGAGAAACAGCAGAAAACTCAATCCTGTAGGAAGAGACTGTGAAGCCTGGCAATGTGCGGAGCC